GTCCTCACTGCCTGCTGGCATTTGTTCCAGAATGTGATGCGCCTGCATGTTGTGTGAGAGACAGACCCCTCCGCTTTATCATTTTAACAGGAAACCCCACCGCAAAGTGCAGCAGAGCATCGTCATGGAAACAAGGTGTGAAATCGTGTGATTGGTGGGTTCTATGCTTCACCCCTTCAGCAAGCCAAAGGGTGAGCAGTCAGGGAGAAGACGCTCCTCACAACCCATTATCTAAAAACAGATTTTTCACCAAAAACCTCTTGATTTAATACAGAGCCAGGCCACCACTTCTTTTGGACCACTGAGTATTTGTCTGCAACTCCATTCAATTTTGCTGCTGGACAATTCGGCACAAATTAATGCAAAACGCGCAAAAAAAAAAACTATCTTGAATGCTTCCTTCCAAACATTAAATCAAGTTACTTTCGTACACATCACTAATCATGCTTGTTTATCTTCCCCAAGCTGTATTTGTCCAGCCAGAAATGAAAAACTAGACAGCAATGCTGTTTCATCCTTAAAAGACCAGCTTAGATTAATTTCCCTGCTGGTTTAAGGGCCGTTCACACCAAGAACAATAAGTGTAATGATACTACTAATGTTTGATAATCTTTCAAATTCTTTGACAATAGGAACGTCCACATCACACAACAATAACCACATGAAGAAACAACATCGTCAGAATCACTTTTTCAAACCTTTTTTTTTTTATGATGATGATGATGATGATGATGAATGATAAAAACATTGACAGGCAATCAGAATTCTCCCATCTTTAATAAGAAGAAGCATTTAAAGTGGTAGACAACATAACCTCAGACTGCGGATTTAACAAACAGAACATTATCATCCGTTGGTGTGGATGTCAATAAAGTTATCATTATGCTGATGAGCTTCACTTTATGAAAATGACAGAAACAAAAAATGCTTTCTGGCAACTCTACTATGAATTGAGTGATTAAGAGGAAAACAACTTAAAAATGTATTAATATTCACTGGGACTTTAAATCTTTGAATTTAGAGACTTAAAATATAATTTTTGTGAACCTATTGCCACAAAAAAAAAAAACACTACGTACAATGACAAACTCGAATTTGCTTCACCCAGTGACAATTTACAACTAAGGACAAGACAAAAGCTATTTCTCCAAAAGAAGTCTACAATGTCTGCAAAAAGTTATTCGTTAGCATTCCCCGTCATCTTAATGACAGTCAGTGAGAACAACAGCCCGACAGATGTGTGTTTCACTCTTGGAGCGAATAGTTTAACGTTTAACGATTTGTTTTGTGTTTTCATTTCCCTCTTGGTGGGAATAAGACTTAACACACTTATTTGGATGCTTGGAGTAGCAGCTAATGAGACCAGACTAGCCGATGCCTGAGTAGAAGCCGGTTTCATATTTGCTGGGGAAATCGAGATGTGTGCTGTCATTGCTGATTGACGACTCATAAATGGAGAGGATCAGATAGTAGTATGCACCTTTTCATTTCATCACACGATCCATAGCCAAAGCATCCCTTACTCTCTTTCTCAAAGTGGCAGATTCTGATAAACACCAGCAGGAGGAATTGCAATGAGGCTAGAAATGGCCTTCTACATGTCGCAGCACTAGCGATTCCACCCTGACAAAAATACATAAACATACACACTTCAGGGAGACAGAATGGACCTTTGGGCCACTGACTCGAAGCCATAATGCATTCAGCTCGCAAACACACATTGTGTTGAACTGATTTCCCTGGGCATAACAGATGCATACATTTCCTTTATACTGAGCATTTGCAAGCGTGACATTTCGACCTGAACAGCTGAGAAATGTCTAGAGGAAAAAACTGACAGTGGTCAAGCCTCATGGAAGAAAAAGTGTCAACGATGGCAGCTCAACGTTGGAAACCACAGGTTTGGTTTTATGCTCTGTCAAGCATCACATAAGATCATAATTAATGTTTGGTTTTTGAAGGAATAGTTTCTGTGTTCAGTTCAGTTTTCTGGGTACTAAATGACTAAAAATTACGATTTAAATAGTTTAGAGTTAGGGTTAGTTTTAACAGAGGCATTAATGTAAGCGCTTTTATAAAATTACAAGCTTTACATTTCTGCTTTAAAGTACTTTAAAAATGAGCCTCAAAATAACCTCATAATTATAATTGTTTTATGTTTATAACCTTATACATATTTTTTGTGGTAAATTATCATCAAATTATTTAAAAATGAATCAAATTAATTCAAGTTTTTAATTTGCAAACTTAATGTGCAAGTAAAATGTTCGAACAATGATGTACCAGTAATAAAGCTTTAAGACCACCAACCAAACCTGCTGGACCAGAGACACAGAAACGGACACAAACCATCTATAGGATCTAGATATATATACGAGTCAATTATCCAGAGAACCAGCAGAGCCACAGTGCATTTCCTACAATGAGAAATGTGTTTTAATAGGCCAAACATGCTGCAGTTTCAAAAGTTTCAGTATTTGTGTGTATATGTGTGAATATATGTGTTTAAAGGAATGAAGAGACATAAATCGTGTTTCTACCCATTAGCTTTTTCTTCGGACTCTACTCTAATTGGTAGGCCAGCGATGGGTGACTGTTGATGAAAAGGAATGGTGGGTGGGTGGGTGGGTGTGTGTGTGTGTGTGTGCGTGTGTCTGCTTATTTGTGTGTGGTGGGATTTGCTGCATGACATTAAGGCCAGCAATTAAAGTTAAGATGTGAGCACAGAGAATACTTAAAACATCCCATACACATTTTAGAGACATTAGAGAACATCTCTGGTGTGAACTTGGATTACTTCAATGACAATTAAAGAGCTTTTAACATAAATGTTTTTATCTTTTTACCCTGAGGCCCACATATAATGTTAGTAAAGGTATTTTGCACCAAAACAGTCATGGTTTAGTATTAAATTATCATTACCCACCTTCTCTCTGACTTTTTGCAGCTTTTTATTATAAAAAAATATTTTTTTTTTTTACATTACAAATACATATTTGTAATATATATTATTTTTATTTAATTTTATTATTATTTTTTATGTTTAAATCTGAACTACAGCAGAAAAATATCTCTATTTATACTTTAAAAAAGAATTGGAATAGTGTAAGCCACATAGATATAAAACAGACCATTTCTGTCCTGCTATCTTATTGTGTGTAATTCATAAATTACACTACAAGTTATGTGACGTCAGTTCAGTAGGCTGTCAAATCCTGGAGGACAATTTGACTTTCCCGAAATAGCAAGGCGGCAGCTCTATTGATGAGCCATAAAAGATATAAACACTGCACACACTTTTGTTTACATGCTGGTAACTGTCCCAAATGACAAATGGGGATGTTTCAATAGAACAGGCTCTGGCCTTGCAATTGGCATGCAGCAATTTCCTGGCCCTGTTAAAAGCACTTACACAAGACAGATAAAAGCGCTTTCAATTCATCAACTTAATAATCCGAGTGCCAGGCTCTGACTGAATGCTCTGAGAACAGGGAAAACATGATTTTTTTCTGAAAGACCAGGGGATTTGTGTGCACAAAACTCTTGGGTAATTCTCTCAAACTGCAACTTTATATGAGAAGTAACATTTCTTTAAAAGTCAGATGCTAGTATTCAGTGTTTTCTCTCATTTTACACACACACACACACACACATCTCTCCTTTCTGCTTAGTCTGTCTCTTGGTTTCTTTTACTCTCTTTTGCCGTCTGTAAGGCAGAAGATTTCCACCAATAGCAGGTAACCATGACATTTCCATCTCAGCTTCCTCCCCCAAAATTCAAGACAAAGAGAGAAAGCTGTGTGGAGGTATCAGATGAGGGTTAATAGACAGCTGATTTTGGCAGGCCTCAAGGGAAAAGAAGTCACAGACTTCATATTCATGATCGGCACAGACCTCTCACCTGAGACTGTCTCTGTCTGGACACTTTCCTGTCATTCTCTCTTCATCTGCAGTGCATGAGCTCTCATTCAGGAACTTGTTTGGGGTTTATTTTACATATACTTCCTTCTCTACGCTCGAGTAGCAAGACTTTAAAAAATCTGCATAAAGTCAGGTCCACATTGCAGGACCCTGTTCACATTCCCATGCACAAGAAAACAACAGCAGAGTCAGAAAAAGTGAGAAAGCAAGCTTACTAGGTTTGTAAAAGCAGAAACATGTAATCAAACAGCTCCCACTTAAACAGGAAACAGCGGCCAACCAGAGATTGTTATTTTATGTGACGTTTAGAAGTGGGACAATCTAAAATAGGGAGATTTGAGATTTGTTTGATAGGGATGCATAGCATACACTAATGTTCAAATGTTTGGGGTTAGTAAACATTTTTTTAAAGTATTTAATACTTTTAATCAGCAAAGATGCATTGATCAAACCTGACAGTAAAGACATTTACGATGTTACAAAATATATATATATATATATTTTTTTTAATGCTGTTCTTCTGAATCTGTTTTCAACATTGATAATAATGAGAAATGTTTCTTGAGCATCAAATCAGCATGTTAGAATGATTTCTGAAGGAGCATGTGACACTGAAGACTGAAGTAATGGTTGCTGAAAATTCAGCATTGCCATCACAGGAATAAACCAAATTGTATACATTTTTTAATATATTAAAACAGAAAACAGTTATTTTAAACAGTAATATTATTCACAATATTACTCTTTTTACTGTATTTTTGATATAATACATGCATCCTTGGTGAACATATGAGAATAATATTTTGAAAAATCTTCTCGACCCCACAATCTATTTAGACAAAATAGTACTGAATTTTAATATCGACTACTTATCGGTTATCAGCCATAATATAAAAATAATTATTGCTTAATGCCATCTGTCAGAAATGTAATATCTGTGCAGTCTAATGATGCCATAAACCCTGTAAACTTTGATTAATAGAGCTTAGAGAGTTTTTCACTTGCAAGCACCTGTTGTGGAAGCATTCTTTTCTGGCTTTTTTATAACATTTAAAATCATAATTTCCTTGCGAGCTCACCTCTTTGTACCAGCATGGTCACCTCACTGCCTTTGGGGCACTTGCTGAGCAGATCGACCACCTGATTGTGCGTCAGGTTCTGCACGTTCCTCTTGTTAACCTCCATGATGATGTCTCCCTCCCTCAGGCCTCTGCATCGTGGGTAATCCACTATCTGCTTCACTCGCTGGCCTCCCCCAGACGGGCTGTCTGCTATTGTGAAGCCAAATCCTTTGTCACCCTTCTCCATGTGGACAGTAATGAGCTCGGGCTGGGTTGCGATCGAAGATGCCAGTGTGACCACGTCGCTGGGATAACCGTGAGAGCCATTGGAAGCCACCTCTGCTGAAGGGCTGTGGGGGCGAGGTGGGTCGCTGGAGCCGTTCAAACTACCGCCGCCACCTGTAGTTTCACTCCCGTGACTTGATGGCGAGTCGTAGCTTTCTTTTCCATTGACGATGATGGGCTCCTTGTCCAGAATGGCCACAGAAGTCACCAGGCTGGTGTTGGGGTCATCAGGGTCAAAGGGTAAGGGGTAGCCACGGCAAAGTTCAAGGTCGACCATAGAGCCGATAGGGATGGACTGGAATATCTTCACAACCTGGGCATGTGTGTAACCCAACACGCAAGTGTCATTCACACTCACGATAACGTCACCTGTGGGAACAAAACAAAACAGGTGTTGGCCCAAGAACAAAGACTACTCAAAGATGTGTTATGAGACCACTGTTTTCAGTTGTACCTGTTTCCATCTTTCCATCCAGAGCAGCTGGTCCATCAAGCACCAGACTCTTAATCTGCAGGAACTCGTCTGGTTCGTCTCCTCCTACCACGGTGAAGCCAAACCCACGCCTACTCTTCTTCAGCTTGGTGTTAATGAATGTCCCCTTCAGTTCTGCAGGGTTCCTTGTGAAAAATGGCTTCCCTCCTGCAGTAAGAAAAGCATTGCACCATTTGTGAGCTATGGGAATATGTGAAAGTAAATCTGTTGGCCCCTCTATATGAGATGGTTATGGATACCTCTGTGTATTACAACACAGCAAATCTTAAGAACATTTTGAGTTTCAAAAGCTGTACAACAAAGTTAACTTTACCGACCACAGTGTAATTAAATTGCCGTGACAAAAGCAGCATATTTTGTTAATGTCTGCTTGTCTGGCTGTCTGTCTGTCTACCCATATACCAACTAACTGACTGTCTATTTGTCTGCCTGTAAATGTCTGTCTGATAACTACTAACTATTTGACTATCTGTCTGTAAACTGTCTAACTACTAACTTATCTATCTATCTATCTATCTATCTATCTATTACATAACTATCGATCTGTCTAACTTTAATGCCATGTCAACATCCAAATTGAACCTTCCTGAGAATAATTTTGTGAAATAACTGTGTTTTGCGTTATCGTAGTTGTACAGCAAAATGGCAAAATGAATGTTAGTAGATGCACCAGCTGGCAATCAGTCCTAGATCAGAGCAAAATTGCTGTTAGTACAAGATACATGTTAGAATGAGATGAGAGAATGGAGGAGCGAACACAGTAGAAGAATGTGATTGGCTAGATAGATGACGTATGATCTGTTCATCATGGTCTGTTATGACAGAAGAACCAGAGAAAACTGCAGAGATACCCTAAGGAGAGAGACACACTGTACACTGAATGCAAATGACTGGATATGATTAAGATATATATGTATGCAAGAGGGAAAATGTGACAGACAGAGAAACAGAGCTGTCCGTAACGGAATAAAATCTAAATGCACACATATACACAAAATTAATATACAATGGGGTCTAAAAGTCTGAGACCACTAGTGAAAAATGTGTATATTTCTATTTTCTAATTTAATACCAATTTTTCATTACAGATTATATTGTTAGAACAGAAATAATGCATAATATTTTTAAAGGTTTAAATTTGATTTTGAATCCCAGTATTTCTATATGGATCTATTATAAGGCCATAGTATATAATATTACATGTGTGTGTGCGTATGTTTATATAATATACAGTATATGTATACATTTTGGTCCAATGTCAATTTTTTCTAACATACTCATTCTTTAGAGCATAAGCCTTGGCTGAATTTTCAAGCGTCAAATCATTACTGATACAATCTTTTGAAACGACAGCATTTCTCTTAATTCAGCACATCCTTGACTTTGACCATAATGCATCTTTTGTATCTAACATTATAGAAAGCCACCACAGAAATTGAACGAGTGCCCACATGAAGACACCAGAGAGAAATGGCAAATGGTGTGAGGGAAAATGCATGATCTTCCACTCAAAAAAAGAGTGTTTGCTAAATATTTAAATAAGCAGCTTATCATCACGCGATAAAACAACACAGGGACGGAAGAGACAGAGAGCTGAGGGAAGGAAGACTTGGAAAAAGTGAAAAGGAGTGAGTGAATAGTGAATGTCCAGAGAGGAATACGCCACGCACGGGTGTGTATGTGTTTGTTACAAACAAAAAAAGGAGGCAGCACATACGTTTAGCCCCCAGTTGGGATGCTAGTGGAGGAGCGGTGCCGGGTTCTCTGTAAGTCTCTTGGTGGTTAGCAGCATAGCTCGCTAGCGGTGCTCCTGTCGAATGCTCCTCTATCCATTCTGAAAGAGTGAAGGGTGCACTTCCTTTTTTGTGTGTCTCTCAAGCCAGTCGCATTTCCTGTCTATTCAAACTAATACTGAGGCTGTGCAGCTGCCAGCTTTACACCTTTAGAGCCCCCATGGTGTCCTAACTTCCTCTAGGATTAAAACTTGCATATTGTCAGTACTGTATCACAAGCAGTGGCTGAATATGAGATACCTTTGAACTTGAGGGAGAAGTTATTAGGTAATCAAGAAAGCAATATTCAGCTGAGTTGGCTGGGAACAAGATCAAGGACATGCCCCAGCATGGCAACCTGCATTTCAGTAGAACTTTCTAGACCATTTATAGAATGAGTAGCCTTTAACATGAGCTCATAACTCATTTTCTTAAAGGTAAAGTTCCAAACTTGTATGACTTTCAGAATCAAAATCAGTTTATTAGCATAGTTGTGACATAGGAAATTCTTTCTCTCTTCTGGATCAACACGAGTGATGATTTTCTTTTTTTCAGAAATGGTGACAGAACTATTGGGTTTATTATTTTTTTTAAGAAAGTAAATGAAGTTGATGAGCTAATTTTGACTTTAAATGCTACTTTTTAAATATTTAATATTAACATTAAGGAAGAAAAATGGATCGCAGATGGCATTTCATGTTGACATTAATAATGGATTCTCCTTGTTATTAACTAGGAATAAAATGAATAAACAGGATTAACAAAAAAAGACAAACTAGCCTAAAACATTATCATTTATTCATTAAAATGCATCAAGTCTTGTGTACTGAAATAAATAAAAAAATCACCTGTATCCACTTGATGTTAGACTTCTCTTTTTGTTTTCTTTCAAGAATTAAACATTGATGACAAAAACCTAAAGCACTGTTTTCAGCAGTAATGCATCAGTGAAATTACTTAAGCCATGAAAAGATTAACTGTAATCCCACCATTCCAAAACCAAAGCTGCAACAAAACTCTAAATGACAAACATGGACAATTAGAAACGTGTAAGAAAAGAAAGAAATGGCGGCATGTTGGGCCTGAATCGAACCTTGGATATACCGCTCACCTTCAGCGGGCTGAGACTGCTCCAGTTGCTTCTTCCTTTTAGCCTCCAGAATTGGGTTTTCATACTGCGTCTTCCTGTTAACATGGCTGGGAGGTGGAGAAAAGGGAGAGAGTGAGAAAGAGAGAGAGAGAGGTGATAAAGATGAGCGAGCAGAGGACACAGTCAATAACAGAACCAGAGGGAGAAACAGGAAATATAATGAGAGGGCATGTAAAGGTTGAGCATAAGGAGAGCAGGTAAGCGGACAAGAAATAAAGTGAATTAATTCAGAGAAAAGGCAATAACGGAGGCTTAAACTATGGCTGAAAGCCTCTGCATTCATTTAAAATTCATTTAAAACTGAGGGGGGAAAAAGTGTGCTATTCTCTCTCATCTTATGCGCTTAAAAGCAAAATCTCTCCACCAGACGGCTCAGCCGCGTTTGACATTGAAATGTGCTTTCATGCATATGAAAATATCGCTTTCTTTACCATGGCAATGCCTGAAATGTTCCAGCGCCTGGGACACAGAGCTGTTGTATTAGCATAAAGCCTGCAGCACACAGGAAATTCATTACAACAGCTCCCATAAAGAAAACTTGCCAGTGCCAGTTTCTAATAGGCCAATGAAAGCAGCACACATTTCAAATTTTTTTGTGAAAGCAAGAACTCATTATCTCTCCTGAGCAGCAATAGCAAATACGTCCGACTACTGTACTGTTCTAATGAATCTATAAATGTCGACCAACAATAATTACTTACAAATAACGATCTACTCGTGAAGGATTCTCTCAGTAGCCTCTGTCTCATACATCTTCGCCCTTCCTGATCTTTCCCGAGTTCCTGAGATTTGCGCAAATGTGTAATAGACAAGCTGTCGCTAAATCAGTGATGTACTTGATCAAGTTTGAGTGTGTCATTTTTTAGATGTTAAAATAATTGGCCTAAAAATCACTATAACTAAGCCATGTAGGTTAATTTACCCAAAAGTGTAAACACTGTAATTCTGTAAAACATTCAAAACATTAGTGGCATCCCGGATGATAGAGTATACATTATGCACTATGTATTTATCATCAAGCATTGGAGTCGGAATTATCTGGAATTCTGAAGTGCACTTTTTCTTTTTGAAATCCTCAGTAACTCAATATCACAATCACATAATGCAAAATGGCTTAGTACAGTGCATACTTAGAAAAGTATGTGAATTAGGACATACCTATTGATCTGTCAGCAACAGATCACATAGCAACACGGGATCAACCAATGGCATGAGTTTGGGGGCGGGATTATGTGTTTGTTTGACCAATAACAGCAAGGGGGAGTTTTTGGTGAAACCTGTTTAACAATGATTATTTAACAAAACTAGATTATTTGCTAACACATTACAATAAGGTCCCATTTCTTAATGCTAGTTGATGCTTTAACTAAAACCACACAGTAAAAAAAATCTCATAAAAAAAAAAAAAAGGTAAAATCACTGGCTGCAGTGATTAAGATATATATGTATGCAAGAGGGAATGTTCCTCTTTAAATTTCCATAAGAAAAACCATAAAATTAAAGTCAAATATTTCAATTCAAAGAGGGAAAAATCTTTAAACTGTAAAAATAATAAAAAATTAAATAATAATAATGATAAAAAATGGTAAAATGACTGCCGAACAAAAAATGTATAAAGTAAAATATCTTAATTCAAGAAAATTCAAGGAAAATTGTAAAATAATCTAAAATTTGTCATTTAAATTTCTGTAAAATTATTGTTTTTGCACTTTATTTGAATAAATATATTTTACTGTAATTTTGTGGTTTTTGGTTTGACAGTTTTTTTTACGATTTTTTTTTACTGTGTAACTAAAATGGGCAATACATTTGTTTATTAATCTTCATTAACGTTAGTTAATAAAAATAAAACTTTTAATTTGATTTGAATTTAATAATGTATTAGTGTTGAAATTAACAAATTTTCATTGTTACCTGTTCACATTAACTAATGTCAACAAAAAGAACCTTAATGTTATCCTTTTCTTTAGTTTCTTTTTAAAAATTATTCACGTGAAGAATTTGCATCATGAAATTTCACCCAGCAATATAATATAATTGATAAATTATTAATTGATATATATTGATATATATATATTGATTGGTGAAGAAGGGAGCGTAACCTCCAACCAAAAGCAACTGCTAGCCAGTAAGTCGTGTCCTTCCCCCCCACATTATTACTGCGACTCTACTGAGAAATTGGTCATTAATCTGTTTGCATCCCATCTTCCCTCTCTACAGGATCAAGTCTCTACCATGCGACCGGATACTCTCGTACCTACTGTCCACATCCCGCAGTCACGCCATCTATTTAATGGCTCCGATTTCTCAAATCAATAGCTATTGACTGTGCTCTTCCAATCAGCCCCGGACACAAACACAGGGCTTCTCAAGGCCACTGCCTGCATCACCTAATCCGTTACTAATGATGAATCAGCCCTTCAATTACAACGGCACACTGAACAGCAGAGAGAGCTCTGCGTGTTGATATAGTGTGCTTTGACGATGGTAAAACTGATTAAAGCAACAAATTATTCAATGATTTGACTGTCACCGTTAGCTCGTCATAATGGTTTCGGATCTCTAGAGCTATTTGCATGCATAATGAAAACAGAACCACTCCCAGCTGCGAGAATCCTGAGTTAAACTGCAAACGCTTCAGCGGTAGAAATAGTAACAATGAATATTTTATACCATGCAGTGCCAATGACATCCCAAATGAACCTTGTTTGAAAGTAATGAAATGTGTTTTACGGTCATTCCAAAACGAAAACCAAACAACTAGACTGAAACACAGCAGTGCAGGTGCATTGTGGACAGACATTACCCTTTGCACTGATCTGGGATCAATTGTGAGGTGGGTTTTCATAATTATGTTAAGCATTTGAGAGAAAACATCTGGTCCCAAAAGCAGCACAGACGCATCGATCTAACCCTGAACAGCAGAGAGAGCTCTGCGTGTTGATATAGTGTGCTTTGACGATGGTAAAACTGATTAAAGCAACAAATTATTCAATGATTTGACTGTCACCGTTAGCTCGTCATAATGGTTTCGGATCTCTAGAGCTATTTGCATGCATAATGAAAACAGAACCACTCCCAGCTGCGAGAATCCTGAGTTAAACTGCAAACGCTTCAGCGGTAGAAATAGTAACAATGAATATTTTATACCATGCAGTGCCAATGACATCCCAAATGAACCTTGTTTGAAAGTAATGAAATGTGTTTTACGGTCATTCCAAAACGAAAACCAAACAACTAGACTGAAACACAGCAGTGCAGGTGCATTGTGGACAGACATTACACTTTGCACTGATCTGGGATCAATTGTGAGGTGGGTTTTCATAATTATGTTGAGCATTTGAGAGAAAACATCTGGTCCCAAAAGCAGCACAGACGCATCGATCTAACCCCCCCCCCAAAAAAACATGCAGGTTGTGTCTGTATGGGTTTATTTCCCCTTGGAATAGTGGCCTACCTAGCTCATTGTCCAGTTCCTCTGTATGTACCCCTTCTTCTCGAGAGGGAGTAAAAGGGGAGCAGGTGTGCACAAAGTGGGGCGAGAAAAGGAGAGGCAGAGAGGGTTAGTTGATAAAAAAAAGCAAAATTACAGCTCAAAGCTTTATAATTATGCCACCATATTATATACACAATGGAAACGTTTTTCTTATGCAAATCATAAAATGTAAAATTAGTGGCATTTTTAATAGCAAAATGATCTGGATTGTGGCTGAGTTAATACAGGATTACTGCATGAGATTTGAGCAACTGAAAATCATATTCTGCATAATCATAAAACTGCTCTGGAAATCACTCCAGGTTCCACTGCACAGGGATTGGAATTGGAGGTTCATTTGTTTTTGTGGAAGGAGATTCAAAATAGTCCAGACCCTCCTTATAGCATTATAGCTGCTGCCTTAGTCATTTTGTCACAGGGTATGAGATTGGCTGTTATAGCTAAAACAGCTCCAGAGCGCCATCTACAGGCTATCATGAGATTACAATGATGATGTGAGGGCTTGAGCATGAATGGTTATCTATAGGTCTGAAGCTGTATTTGCTATGGTGACACAGATATTATTTAAAATTTTAGATTTACAACACTAAAAGCTTATGTATGCACAACACCACAAAAACACTTGCAAGTAAGCGTTATGAATGCATGTCACCATGAAACTGATATTTGCACAAGCAAACCGGACAAAAACTCAACCACATATCCATACCATCATCTTCACATTCCTCCAGGGGTTTCTGAGGTTTGTCCAGGCATCGGGGATCTATCCAGGATGTTGTCTTTGTGTTGTGGCTATGAATAGATGCAGAATACAGACAGTGAGGCATTGTTCTAAAAGATGCCTGCAGAACAACATCCTGTGGCTTTTTTCTGCGTCCCAGCAGGCAGGAAAATGTATACTAAAGTTTGATACTTCCTGTCTTGATATCTGAAAAACTGCCAGTAGCAATATATAAACTTAAAATAAGAAACAGAAAACTACTGTAACCTCAGGAATTTATAGTGCAATCTGTCTATGCATAAAAATATCTAAAAATAGCGATAGTGCTTTCCCAGAAGTATTAAAGGAATTTTGGACAATCGTGTAAAATGCACAGTTGAAAATTGATGCATTTCATTGCCTTAAATTCGAAAGATCAAACCAAGTTGCATCTTCAAACAAATGATCTTAGAACTTTTCTTAAATCTAATGTCACTTCTGCATGACACCCATCTGAGAAATTAATTATTTAAAAAAACATGTTTAACAACAAGAAGCTATCATAAACAAGTTAACAAATATATTAAAGTTTAAATATTAATCAATATTATTGATATTAAATATGAAAAATAAAAAAATGTACAACTTAAATAACAATAGCAAATATTGAATAAAAATAACAATATTACATTATTATAACCAATTAACACAGAAATTATGATAAAAATTAAAATACAGCTATTCTCATTTGTGAGAATGAAGTGACTGATTTATGCATTAACTTCTCTTTTGATTTTTTTTTATTGATCTGTCGACCTATAATTGATTATCAACTTCTCTATTGACACACACAACTTCTCTATCTGTTACCCTATTTTAAATTTCCATACATCTGACCATATTTGCTATTACTTTAATACAATAAATTGAATTAGTTTAATTCAAAAACACATATTAGTTCAATTTTGCCTTTTCTTTATTCATTTTTGTTCTTAATTTAGTTTATTTAATTATGAAATATTATTATATTTTCAGTATGAAATATAAAAATAAATTGCTACTTGGTTTGATATTTTGCATTATTTATTTATGCAGACATTTATGTATTTTTCAAGTCTGCGGAGTCCAAAAAATGTTTGTGGTCACTGTAAATGTCCATCTAATTATAAAGAGAGCAGTTGGTTCTTACTCTATAAAGTAGACCTCTCCGCTCTCAGTGTAGGCCATCTCCCAGTTTTCGGGCAGAGGCCCCTGAGGTTCCTCTTCCGTGGGATAGCCGGGGTGTGTATGTGTGTTCTGAGAGCTCTCCGTGGTTGACGCCGAGGTGTTGTTGAGCCCGTAGGGTTGAACGTAGTCGCGGGCGAAGGGCCGCACAGAAGGGTGGTCGTCCGGTTCACTTGAGTCTCCTGCATGCACACAGAAGATCACTACACAAATACAGACCCTCTCAGTTCAACAAGGCTCTGGTTAAGAACCGCATCTTAAATGACTGTGGCAATGTACTTTTGCTACAGCAAATGATTTGGAAGTTTACACTTCCTGTAAACTCTGGAGTGATCAAACACCATTCACACTCTACTGTACACAAATATGCATACCAACACCTGGCTGCCTGACACTTTCCCACCCACACCAAAAAATGAAATCACCAACATCCCCTCAAATCAATAAGAGTGTAAACGGTTCACACTTAACCTTCTTGAAGAGGTGAGGAATCTAAACAAATCGACTCTCAACTGCATTGCATGGCACGCTTGACTGAATTAGCGGCTTTAAATCAAACCACTCTGCCAAATCAAAGGCATGAACCTGTATGAATTTTGCCTTTTCTAAATCAAGGGCCCTAGAATAAACTTGGATATTGAAAATAACACGCAATATAAAAAAAATTATCATACAGTCAAATATACTCTCGAAGTAAATGCTTACAGAAACGAGCTTGTGTAATAAGGAGCAGGCATTTACTGGTATTTACAACCGTTTTAGGCGATTCAAACAAGTTGTCAGACGAACCGTTGTCAGATGCTGTTAACACCTAGTAATAGTGACATGTCTCAAATGCGTCTCTACTGTTTAAATATTTGAGGTCAGTAAGATTTTTATTATTTTTAAAAATAAATTCATACTTTTATTCAGCAAGGGTGCATTCAACTGATCAAAAGTGACAGTAAAGACATTTATAACTACATAAAATCTATTTAAAATAAATGCTGTGCTTATGTATTTTCAAAAATCCTGGATAAAAATGCTTCACATGCACAAAAATATTAAGCAGCAACTGTTTTCAACATTGATAATGAATATGTTTCTTGAGCAGCAAATCAGCATATTAGAATGATTTCTGATCACCGAATGTCACATGATCCTTCAGAAATCATTCTAAAGAAGTAATGATGTTGAAAATTCATCTTTGCCATCTTTTGCCAGGAATAAATTATATTTTAAAATATATTCAAATAACAAAAAAAGTTAATTGAACTGTAAACATATTTAACAATATTACTGATTTGAACGTATTTTTGATCAAATAAATAGTGAGCATTAAACACTTCTTTTAAAAAATGTGAACAATAGTGTACATACATAATTCACTGCCAGTGTGTTACTTCATAAAGCACAAAAAAAGCACTGTTTCCAAATATACTCCTACTTTCTAATCACACAGCAAACGTGACATTTAGAATGCTCAGTGTTACTGTAGTTGAGCAGCTTTATTAACTAAACCTTAGATGTGTACCTACTCAGATGGGGTAAATGTCCCTTCTTTTAGCATAACGATTGAATGACAGGTCAACGGGCGGTGCTTCATTCTTGTCCAGTACACAATGTGCAAATGAATATGATTTGAGTAATAGAATCGCATCACGAAACTGCTGACTCTAGGGACTTAGTGCTGTCCACTGGGGAAGTCGTGGCCTAATGGTTAGAGAGTCGGACTCATAACCCAAAGGTTGTGGGTTCGAGTCTCGTACCGGCAGGGATTGTAGGTGGGGGGAGTGAATGTACAGTGCTCTCTCCCACCTTCAATACCACGACTGAGGTGCCCTTGAGCAAAGCCCGACCAAACCCCCAACTGCGCCGCAGCATAAATGGCTGCCCACTGCTCCGGGTGTGTGTTCACGGTGTGTGTGTGTTCACTGCTGTGTGTGTCCACTTTGGATGAGCACTAATTCCGAGTATGGGTCACCATACTTGGCCACATGTCACATCACTTCACTTTTGATCAGATCACAGAAGATGTCAATACCTCTCATCGACCAGCAGCTATATCACACGGCAATCTATTTCAGAGACGGACGTCCTCTAAGAACACCACACCAAATGAATGCAACCCATCCAATACTCTGATACAGAGTGTGGAAGTTGGTAGAGTCAAATCAATAAATATAGACAAGGAGAGTCCATCTTGGTGTTTTCGAACACAAACAAAACCCTCTACCACAGCCAGATGGCGCTCTTTCCCCCTTCCTCCCTGAATCGTAATGGCAAAGGAAAAGGAAAGCAACAAAGAGGCATCACTCATCCCTTCTCCCATGTGCCAGACGGAAAGGCAAACAAATCGGCTCGCTGCTGACCTGTGAAGCTACTGTTCATTTCAGGAACCTCATCATCATCCTCAGTCTCTGTAGGCACTATTCCAGCATTTTGCATCTCATTGTAGGACTTGGTTCGGCGTGGGGTCGACTGCTGGGAACCAGGAAGACTGTCTTGCAGAGCATCGCCAGTAATCACTTTCCCACTAGGGGGCTGGCTGGGCGGCTTGGGTGTTCCATAATAGTTACCTAGGCAACAAGAGGATATTACCAGCATTCAGAACAGGAGGTTTAAAGGAAATGCAAGACATGATGATGTGGGGTTTTGAAAATGCTCTATTATGAAAATGACTGCTTGTCTAAGTGAAGTTTGTTCAAGGGAGATAATGGTATCATGGTAATGAGCGCATACAATGGACAGAGCTGTCTGTCTGAAAGAAAAGCACTTCACGTCATTAAATCAGAGTAATACATTTAGAGTTCAACCACGCCAGGCCGAGTGATAAACCTTAATATTAATAAAGAGATTCATTTTGACGAAATACAACAACAGGATGGAGTAAAAATAAAGATGTCAAGATTTTAACTATTGACAAAAGTGTCATTTGTTAGGTATCTAATGATTAAACACTCATTTACTATGTTTTTATGTGAATTCTTTTTTATCAATTATAATAAAAATATTAGATGATAAATAAACCAGCAAATAAATAAATAAAGTTTAACTAATAAAAAGTTTAATTCTAAGAAAGTTTTAGAATTAAAAAAAAGTAAAATAAAATGTTACAATTTGATATGAATAAGAATTAAGGTTATGCGCTATTTCTAGGTCAGGTCACTTATTAAATAAGTAAATTTGAGACACTGATAATCTGAAAATATGGGATTAAGTATGTTGAAATAAATAATTATGATTGTCCACATGTGTACCGAACAAATTCAGCATTTTAACCACTGCACTAGTGGAACTTCATTGGAAACTTCCAGTTTTATATATTGTTACTTTTGATAATAAAAAGTCCCATCTTTCAAATTATGTCCATTTTATCAGGAAATTCAAACATTAAATGGAGTTTTGACGCTCTTTGATGTGGCATGACATTACTATTTAGGTGCATCATTTCAAACTGTAGCGCGGAGCACGAGCACGATCATCCCTTCCTCTTTACTAATAGTTTTAATGCGAAATAAACATGAATGAATATCTCATGCCTCATGCAATCGCTCAATCAGTGTTTCAACCGTGAAAAGACGTCAATAAAACAGCTTGTAAACAAAATGTCACGTAGCATTCCATTTACCTTAGGCAAGTCATCAATGTCCACAGCTCGTTATTTGCCAGAGAAATTAAGTCTAGAGAAGAGCATTTCGCAAAATATTAAGCTATATACTCATTATATTTTACTCTACCTGTTATAACATCACTATGGTGATGTCTTAATTAGGCTATTTAATTTATGTTTAAATAAATCTGTTGTGACAAGTTATGACAGCCACTGTGTAAATGAATATATTTCAACAACAAATAGAAATTGTATAATTTAGAAGTTAATTTAAAAACTGCATTATGTGCAATTTATATGTTTGCATATTTTTTTTAAAGTTGAGTGTTGATTATTTTATTTAAAAAATAAATAATGAGTAATTAAATTTAAGTTTGGGCTCTGTTGTTAATTGTAACTTTATAGTAATGTAAAAGGGCTCCCTATATTTTAGAGCATATGCTGAGGTAGATTTTTATTATTATTATTATTATTATTTTTTAGAAAATTGTAATTATAATAGAATGTATTTAAAGAAATAGCTATTTCTTCAGTAAACCACTGTTTAATTAAAAAAAAAACATTTATTTTACTTTTTTAAATTCTGACAATTATTTAAAAAGTAACATTGTAACATATAATGGCCAATCAAAAAGCATGTGTTTAAACTCTATAGATTGCAGTTTACCTTCGTAAGATCCGATCTCCAACAGTGTCCCACTCTGTTCAAGCTTCAGAAACTCGTCCACTGACAAGAAATTATAATCTACTCCTGGCACCTCTCCGTCACGAGGGAGGCGGGTCGTACCTGTGACCAGCAAAAAAGGAGAAAGATCCCATAAGAGACTGACATCAGGAAACTGCTAGTTTATGCTTAAAACCACATATACACAATGTCTATGATTACCACCTACATCAGGGCCAACAACAGCCACATGCTACAGTCTACAGGCTCCTGGAAGCCAAACGCTGGGTGTGAAATCAGTGTGAGAGAGCTTTGCACAGCTAAAAGTGAAGATGTTGTAACACCTTGATGATAATTGGTTGTAGGAGAGCAAAGTGTGGCTCCAACCCCCACTGTATTGCTCTAACTTCATATTAGATTAAAGCAGCTTTAGGGATCAAAGAGTCCATACGGCTGCTCTGCCTCCTCTATCACATTCCCTTACACCCCGTTTAGACCTCGTATTAAAATCCATCTCAGGCGATCCCATCACAAATGGTCAGTACTAAATACGGGTGTAAATAGGGTTCAAATACAATGGTAAAAGACCGGCTACTGACCTGTCAATCAACCAACCAACCATGCACTTAAAGGGGTGGTTGATTGCGATTTCACTTTTTTAAACGTTAGTTAGTGTGTAATGTTGCTGTTTGAACATAAACAATATCTGCAAAATTACGAAGCTGAAAGTTCAATGCAAACGGAGATATCATCTTTTAAAATTCTGGCAGTTTAATGCCTACAAAAATGGCTCGTAGGGACTACAACGAGTTACTTCCCGGGTTCGTGACATCACAAACCCAGATAAACCCCTCCCTCGGGAAAAGGCAGCAAATGGGGCAAGGCCATGCTGCGCTGCTTTAGAGAAGAGGAAGAGAAAACTAGAGGTGCACGTAAAAATCTATTCATATATGAACAAATGAACCTTGTTTGAAAGTAATGAAATGTGTTTTACGGTCATTCCAAAACGAAAACCAAACAACTAGACTGAAACACAGCAGTGCAGGTGCATTGTGGACAGACATTACACTTTGCACTGATCTGGGATCAATTGTGAGGTGGGTTTTCATAATTATGTTGAGCATTTGAGAGAAAACATCTGGTCCCAAAAGCAGCACAGACGCATCGATCTAACCCCCCCCCCAAAAAAACATGCAGGTTGTGTCTGTATGGGTTTATTTCCCCTTGGAATAGTGGCCTACCTAGCTCATTGTCCAGTTCCTCTGTATGTACCCCTTCTTCTCGAGAGGGAGTAAAAGGGGAGCAGGTGTGCACAAAGTGGGGCGAGAAAAAGAGAGGCAGAGAGGGTTAGTTGATAAAAAAAAGCAAAATTACAGCTCAAAGCTTTATAATTATGCCACCATATTATATACACAATGGAAACGTTTTTCTTATGCAAATCATAAAATGTAAAATTAGTGGCATTTTTAATAGCAAAATGATCTGGATTGTGGCTGAGTTAATACAGGATTACTGCATGAGATTTGAGCAACTGAAAATCATATTCTGCATAATCATAAAACTGCTCTAGAAATCACTCCAGGTTCCACTGCACAGGGATTGGAATTGGAGGTTCATTTGTTTTTGTGGAAGGAGATTCAAAATAGTCCAGACCCTCCTTATAGCATTATAGCTGCTGCCTTAGTCATTTTGTCACAGGGTATGAGATTGGCTGTTATAGCTAAAACAGCTCCAGAGCGCCATCTACAGGCTATCATGAGATTACAATGATGATGTGAGGGCTTGAGCATGAATGGTTATCTATAGGTCTGAAGCTGTATTTGCTATGGTGACACAGATATTATTTAAAATTTTAGATTTACAACACTAAAAGCTTATGTATGCACAACACCACAAAAACACTTGCAAGTAAGCGTTATGAATGCATGTCACCATGAAACTGATATTTGCACAAGCAAACCGGACAAAAACTCAACCACATATCCATACCATCATCTTCACATTCCTCCAGGGGTTTCTGAGGTTTGTCCAGGCATCGGGGATCTATCCAGGATGTTGTCTTTGTGTTGTGGCTATGAATAGATGCAGAATACAGACAGTGAGGCATTGTTCTAAAAGATGCCTGCAGAACAACATCCTGTGGCTTTTTTCTGCGTCCCAGCAGGCAGGAAAATGTATACTAAAGTTTGATACTTCCTGTCTTGATATCTGAAAAACTGCCAGTAGCAATATATAAACTTAAAATAAGAAACAGAAAACTACTGTAACCTCAGGAATTTATAGTGCAATCTGTCTATGCATAAAAATATCTAAAAATAGCGATAGTGCTTTCCCAGAAGTATTAAAGGAATTTTGGACAATCGTGTAAAATGCACAGTTGAAAATTGATGCATTTCATTGCCTTAAATTCGAAAGATCAAACCAAGTTGCATCTTCAAACAAATGATCTTAGAACTTTTCTTAAATCTAATGTCACTTCTGCATGACACCCATCTGAGAAATTAATTATTTAAAAAAACATGTTTAACAACAAGAAGCTATCATAAACAAGTTAACAAATATATTAAAGTTTAAATATTAATCAATATTATTGATATTAAATATGAAAAATAAAAAAATGTACAACTTAAATAACAATAGCAAATATTGAATAAAAATAACAATATTACATTATTATAACCAATTAACACAGAAATTATGATAAAAATTAAAATACAGCTATTCTCATTTGTGAGAATGAAGTGACTGATTTATGCATTAACTTCTCTTTTGATTTTTTTTTATTGATCTGTCGACCTATAATTGATTATCAACTTCTCTATTGACACACACAACTTCTCTATCTGTTACCCTATTTTAAATTTCCATACATCTGACCATATTTGCTATTACTTTAATACAATAAATTGAATTAGTTTAATTCAAAAACACATATTAGTTCAATTTTGCCTTTTCTTTATTCATTTTTGTTCTTAATTTAGTTTATTTAATTATGAAATATTATTATATTTTCAGTATGAAATATAAAAATAAATTGCTACTTGGTTTGATATTTTGCATTATTTATTTATGCAGACATTTATGTATTTTTCAAGTCTGCGGAGTCCAAAAAATGTTTGTGGTCACTGTAAATGTCCATCTAATTATAAAGAGAGCAGTTGGTTCTTACTCTATAAAGTAGACCTCTCCGCTCTCAGTGTAGGCCATCTCCCAGTTTTCGGGCAGAGGCCCCTGAGGTTCCTCTTCCGTGGGATAGCCGGGGTGTGTATGTGTGTTCTGAGAGCTCTCCGTGGTTGACGCCGAGGTGTTGTTGAGCCCGTAGGGTTGAACGTAGTCGCGGGCGAAGGGCCGCACAGAAGGGTGGTCGTCCGGTTCACTTGAGTCTCCTGCATGCACACAGAAGATCACTACACAAATACAGACCCTCTCAGTTCAACAAGGCTCTGGTTAAGAACCGCATCTTAAATGACTGTGGCAATGTACTTTTGCTACAGCAAATGATTTGGAAGTTTACACTTCCTGTAAACTCTGGAGTGATCAAACACCATTCACACTCTACTGTACACAAATATGCATACCAACACCTGGCTGCCTGACACTTTCCCACCCACACCAAAAAATGAAATCACCAACATCCCCTCAAATCAATAAGAGTGTAAACGGTTCACACTTAACCTTCTTGAAGAGGTGAGGAATCTAAACAAATCGACTCTCAACTGCATTGCATGGCACGCTTGACTGAATTAGCGGCTTTAAATCAAACCACTCTGCCAAATCAAAGGCATGAACCTGTATGAATTTTGCCTTTTCTAAATCAAGGGCCCTAGAATAAACTTGGATATTGAAAATAACACGCAATATAAAAAAAATTATCATACAGTCAAATATACTCTCGAAGTAAATGCTTACAGAAACGAGCTTGTGTAATAAGGAGCAGGCATTTACTGGTATTTACAACCGTTTTAGGCGATTCAAACAAGTTGTCAGACGAACCGTTGTCAGATGCTGTTAACACCTAGTAATAGTGACATGTCTCAAATGCGTCTCTACTGTTTAAATATTTGAGGTCAGTAAGATTTTTATTATTTTTAAAAATAAATTCATACTTTTATTCAGCAAGGGTGCATTCAACTGATCAAAAGTGACAGTAAAGACATTTATAACTACATAAAATCTATTTAAAATAAATGCTGTGCTTATGTATTTTCAAAAATCCTGGATAAAAATGCTTCACATGCACAAAAATATTAAGCAGCAACTGTTTTCAACATTGATAATGAATATGTTTCTTGAGCAGCAAATCAGCATATTAGAATGATTTCTGATCACCGAATGTCACATGATCCTTCAGAAATCATTCTAAAGAAGTAATGATGTTGAAAATTCATCTTTGCCATCTTTTGCCAGGAATAAATTATATTTTAAAATATATTCAAATAACAAAAAAAGTTAATTGAACTGTAAACATATTTAACAATATTACTGATTTGAACGTATTTTTGATCAAATAAATAGTGAGCATTAAACACTTCTTTTAAAAAATGTGAACAATAGTGTACATACATAATTCACTGCCAGTGTGTTACTTCATAAAGCACAAAAAAAGCACTGTTTCCAAATATACTCCTACTTTCTAATCACACAGCAAACGTGACATTTAGAATGCTCAGTGTTACTGTAGTTGAGCAGCTTTATTAACTAAACCTTAGATGTGTACCTACTCAGATGGGGTAAATGTCCCTTCTTTTAGCATAACGATTGAATGACAGGTCAACGGGCGGTGCTTCATTCTTGTCCAGTACACAATGTGCAAATGAATATGATTTGAGTAATAGAATCGCATCACGAAACTGCTGACTCTAGGGACTTAGTGCTGTCCACTGGGGAAGTCGTGGCCTAATGGTTAGAGAGTCGGACTCATAACCCAAAGGTTGTGGGTTCGAGTCTCGTACCGGCAGGGATTGTAGGTGGGGGGAGTGAATGTACAGTGCTCTCTCCCACCTTCAATACCACGACTGAGGTGCCCTTGAGCAAAGCCCGACCAAACCCCCAACTGCGCCGCAGCATAAATGGCTGCCCACTGCTCCGGGTGTGTGTTCACGGTGTGTGTGTGTTCACTGCTGTGTGTGTCCACTTTGGATGAGCACTAATTCCGAGTATGGGTCACCATACTTGGCCACATGTCACATCACTTCACTTTTGATCAGATCACAGAAGATGTCAATACCTCTCATCGACCAGCAGCTATATCACACGGCAATCTATTTCAGAGACGGACGTCCTCTAAGAACACCACACCAAATGAATGCAACCCATCCAATACTCTGATACAGAGTGTGGAAGTTGGTAGAGTCAAATCAATAAATATAGACAAGGAGAGTCCATCTTGGTGTTTTCGAACACAAACAAAACCCTCTACCACAGCCAGATGGCGCTCTTTCCCCCTTCCTCCCTGAATCGTAATGGCAAAGGAAAAGGAAAGCAACAAAGAGGCATCACTCATCCCTTCTCCCATGTGCCAGACGGAAAGGCAAACAAATCGGCTCGCTGCTGACCTGTGAAGCTACTGTTCATTTCAGGAACCTCATCATCATCCTCAGTCTCTGTAGGCACTATTCCAGCATTTTGCATCTCATTGTAGGACTTGGTTCGGCGTGGGGTCGACTGCTGGGAACCAGGAAGACTGTCTTGCAGAGCATCGCCAGTAATCACTTTCCCACTAGGGGGCTGGCTGGGCGGCTTGGGTGTTCCATAATAGTTACCTAGGCAACAAGAGGATATTACCAGCATTCAGAACAGGAGGTTTAAAGGAAATGCAAGACATGATGATGTGGGGTTTTGAAAATGCTCTATTATGAAAATGACTGCTTGTCTAAGTGAAGTTTGTTCAAGGGAGATAATGGTATCATGGTAATGAGCGCATACAATGGACAGAGCTGTCTGTCTGAAAGAAAAGCACTTCACGTCATTAAATCAGAGTAATACATTTAGAGTTCAACCACGCCAGGCCGAGTGATAAACCTTAATATTAATAAAGAGATTCATTTTGACGAAATACAACAACAGGATGGAGTAAAAATAAAGATGTCAAGATTTTAACTATTGACAAAAGTGTCATTTGTTAGGTATCTAATGATTAAACACTCATTTACTATGTTTTTATGTGAATTCTTTTTTATCAATTATAATAAAAATATTAGATGATAAATAAACCAGCAAATAAATAAATAAAGTTTAACTAATAAAAAGTTTAATTCTAAGAAAGTTTTAGAATTAAAAAAAAGTAAAATAAAATGTTACAATTTGATATGAATAAGAATTAAGGTTATGCGCTATTTCTAGGTCAGGTCACTTATTAAATAAGTAAATTTGAGACACTGATAATCTGAAAATATGGGATTAAGTATGTTGAAATAAATAATTATGATTGTCCACATGTGTACCGAACAAATTCAGCATTTTAACCACTGCACTAGTGGAACTTCATTGGAAACTTCCAGTTTTATATATTGTTACTTTTGATAATAAAAAGTCCCATCTTTCAAATTATGTCCATTTTATCAGGAAATTCAAACATTAAATGGAGTTTTGACGCTCTTTGATGTGGCATGACATTACTATTTAGGTGCATCATTTCAAACTGTAGCGCGGAGCACGAGCACGATCATCCCTTCCTCTTTACTAATAGTTTTAATGCGAAATAAACATGAATGAATATCTCATGCCTCATGCAATCGCTCAATCAGTGTTTCAACCGTGAAAAGACGTCAATAAAACAGCTTGTAAACAAAATGTCACGTAGCATTCCATTTACCTTAGGCAAGTCATCAATGTCCACAGCTCGTTATTTGCCAGAGAAATTAAGTCTAGAGAAGAGCATTTCGCAAAATATTAAGCTATATACTCATTATATTTTACTCTACCTGTTATAACATCACTATGGTGATGTCTTAATTAGGCTATTTAATTTATGTTTAAATAAATCTGTTGTGACAAGTTATGACAGCCACTGTGTAAATGAATATATTTCAACAACAAATAGAAATTGTATAATTTAGAAGTTAATTTAAAAACTGCATTATGTGCAATTTATATGTTTGCATATTTTTTTTAAAGTTGAGTGTTGATTATTTTATTTAAAAAATAAATAATGAGTAATTAAATTTAAGTTTGGGCTCTGTTGTTAATTGTAACTTTATAGTAATGTAAAAGGGCTCCCTATATTTTAGAGCATATGCTGAGGTAGATTTTTATTATTATTATTATTATTATTTTTTAGAAAATTGTAATTATAATAGAATGTATTTAAAGAAATAGCTATTTCTTCAGTAAACCACTGTTTAATTAAAAAAAAAACATTTATTTTACTTTTTTAAATTCTGACAATTATTTAAAAAGTAACATTGTAACATATAATGGCCAATCAAAAAGCATGTGTTTAAACTCTATAGATTGCAGTTTACCTTCGTAAGATCCGATCTCCAACAGTGTCCCACTCTGTTCAAGCTTCAGAAACTCGTCCACTGACAAGAAATTATAATCTACTCCTGGCACCTCTCCGTCACGAGGGAGGCGGGTCGTACCTGTGACCAGCAAAAAAGGAGAAAGATCCCATAAGAGACTGACATCAGGAAACTGCTAGTTTATGCTTAAAACCACATATACACAATGTCTATGATTACCACCTACATCAGGGCCAACAACAGCCACATGCTACAGTCTACAGGCTCCTGGAAGCCAATCGCTCGGTGTGAAATCAGCGTGAGAGAGATTTGCACAGCTAAAAGTGAAGATGTTGTAACACCTTGATGATAATTGGTTGTAGGAGAGCAAAGTGTGGCTCCTCATATTAGCATATTAGATTAAAGCAGCTTTAGGGATCAAAGAGTCCATACGGCTGCTCTGCCTCCTCTATCACATTCCCCGTTTAGACGTTTAGACCTCGTATTAAAATCCATCTCAGGCGATCCCATCACAAATGGTCAGTACTAAATACGGGTGTAAATAGGGTTCAAATACAATGGTAAAAGACCGGCTACTGACCTGTCAATCAACCAACCAACCATGCACTTAAAGGGGTGGTTGATTGCGATTTCACTTTTTTAAACGTTAGTTAGTGTGTAATGTTGCTGTTTGAACATAAACAATATCTGCAAAATTACGAAGCTGAAAGTTCAATGCAAACGGAGATATCATCTTTTAAAATTCTGGCAGTTTAATGCCTACAAAAATGGCTCGTAGGGACTACAACGAGTTACTTCCCGGGTTCGTGACATCACAAACCCAGATAAACCCCTCCCTCGGGAAAAGGCAGCAAATGGGGCAAGGCCATGCTGCGCTGCTTTAGAGAAGAGGAAGAGAAAACTAGAGGTGCACGTAAAAATCTATTCATATATGAATCGCGATTCTGTCTTCTAACGATTCTAATACATTCACAGGTTTCAAAATCAATGTTCTAAAGCAGCGGTTCTCAATACTGTTCCTCACGTTCCTCTGCTCTGCATCTCTGTCTCTCTCTCATTCAGCTCAGCTCCGACAATGAACTGTTCCAATTATACTCTTTTCACATAGCTATAAAAAGCATTAAACATGGACGCGCATGCGGTTGCTGTACTGTATTAAAACTTTAATCAGGATAAACCCGTATATGAAAAGCTAACATAAGCAGTAGCATTTACAAATAACAGCATATCTAAAAGTATGAGACAGCAACAAACAAAAAACATAGGCCTACCATTAAAAGCCGTGCTTGCACAGGTTCTGCACGATCCTCTTTAATAATATCCTCTGCTTCTCAATCGGGCTCAAACTGATAAACGATATTAACGATGTCGTTGTTTACAATACAACCAGAGCACATGCCGCTGAGGTGAGGGGCGGGACGTTTAGACGTGCACTAGTGGTGGTTTAGCCAATCACAACACACTGGGCTAGCTAACCAATCAGAGCCCATCGCCTATTTCTGAGGGCGGGGCTTCATAAAAACAGGAAAAGATCAGCCCGTGATAAATTATGTGAAAAATAATGTGTTTTTTTTAAACGAAGCATTAACACGTTAGACTGCACCCCATGAACACAATCAAGCCTAGAAAAAACCCAGTGAACCACCCCTTTAACGGTTTTAAATGATAAATGGAACTTTGAAACGTGTGCCAAGATCTTCCAAATATACTTTTTTTGTATTCATGTAGGTTTCATTTGGTTTAAAAGCATATGATTTCTACTATACTTCAAAAAATGTTTCAATTTAATGACTCTAAAAATGTCATGGTGTAATCAGCAAATAAAAAGTAATAACATTTTCCATACCCTTGAATACACGAGTTTACACATCTTATATATAAATATATATATATATATATATATTTTTTTTTTTGAGTTTTGAGTTTTTGGGGAACTGCAACATGATATTTAACAACCTTATATTTTCATAAGGTCAAATTATCTGGCATTTTAAAAACAAGTTTTGTATATTTTTAAGAAAAATAAAACATTAATAATAAAAGTTTATTAATACTAATACTTGACACAGCTTGATTTTCTTTTAAAGAATTTAATTTTTCTTTACTATATCAAAACAATTGTATCACCCTGACATTTTTAAATTCATACCCCAATATATCTATATATATATATATATATATATATAGCAATAGATTTATTCAACATATTCTTTTAATAAATTAATAGGCAGTACAAAAAAAGAGCGTAAATTACTCTAATACCAGTAAACAAGGCTTCATGTATTTCCTTTTTTTCTTTCTTTCTCCACACATTCTATTTAAATGGACTCTGATAACCCAAGAGCATGTTTATTAGACACCATGATCGATCATAACATCATCCACGCACACAACACTCGTACAGATGTGAAGTGCATTTGCCCCTTGCGTTGTACCCATAATCAATATCTCAGCTGTCATAAATCCTGTCTTATCGACACAACCATATTTATTTGCACTTGGACACTGGGTTCTTCTGCAGCTATTTGTGATGCTGAAGGTTAAGACGGTGGCCTGGCAGTCACCGCATGTTTCACGCGCTTGTCCTGCTGCATGCTGTATCTCCCCATCCCTTGATGGAGCTGATGAATAGCTGATATAAATAGCACCCCACGATGGGAGATGCTCTTTGGCAGCCATCTTAGTGACACTGGTGATAAATCAAAGATGTGATGATAACTCTGTTTTCTCAACAACCTCACAATGTAATATTCTCTTTGGTTTACAGGCCCTCTCGACTAGTATACAACACAAGCCCCAAAATGGATGCTGTGCAAAGTTTGTGTGTCACTTTTAATAGGACTCAGGTCTTTTTAGCGGTTACATTTTGATGTAAACCTCTGTGAAATGTGTTTTTTTTAAGCTTGCGTTTTATAAGAGCACAACAATTCTGAGATAATTCTTGGTTTCTCAAAAACAGAAAACTTAAAAAAAGAAATACTTTTATTCAGCAATGATGCATTCAAATTGATTAAAAGTGACAGTCAATACATATCATTTTACAAAATATTTTTTCAAAATAAATGCTTTTCTTCTGAACTTTCTATTCATCAAATAAGCGTGAAAAAATGTATTATGAGTTCTACAACTATATTAAGCAGCACAATTGTTTTCAACATTGATAATAATAAGAAATTTTTCTTCAGCAGCATATTAGAATGATTTCTGGAGGATCATGTGACAATGAAGTCTAGAGTAATGATGCTGAAAATTCAGCTTTGCATAACAGGAATAAATTACATTTTAAAATATATTTAAAAAGAAAACATCTCTTAAATTGTAAAATTATTTCACAATATTACCGTTTTTACTGTATTTTTGATCAAATGAATGCAGTCTTGGTGAATATAAGAGACTTCAAAAACATTTTTTAAAAATACAGACTGCAAACTTTATATGTTAATGCTGGCATTGATCTAATAAGTCTAATGTTGAAAATTTCAAAATATCTTAATATATACCCTCAACTTGGGCCAAATTGCTCTATATTTCTTGGAAAAAACAATACTACAATATAGTCCCTTGTCTTCCACAGACAAACAGAAGATGCTATTGGTCAAGCCAGAAGTTGACAACTCGGCCTGCTCAAACAAAAGTGAAATGTTTTGAAAGCAACACAGAGATGTGAATATTCTTTTTGAAGAAGACAACCAACAAATGGTTTACTTATAGCTTTAGATACTCAAGAAGCATTACACATCGCCTCCATGTTATGACTCAATGACAGTATCAGTGGTATATTTTTCACCTTCACCTCACTAACTGAATCATGCAATAACACACTCTAGTTCTGCTCCTATGAACAATAAATAGAAAACAAAGCACTTAGGTACATTTATAGTATACACTTTACACAACATGCACAAATGTGAACCAATGTCACTACTGCAAGTAGAAAAATATATCCACAAATATATAAATAGCATTACTGTCACATGATGATATATTTTCTTGTTGCTAGGGACAATCCCTGAGAGCCTCATCTATAATTTTTGAGGGGATCAAACCATTTCATTTCACACACTATGCCACACAGTGAAAATCGTGTGTAAAACAACAGCCTCAAAAATGAACATTGTGAAGGCAAGCACCTGTATGAACTTTTATATCAGGCATGCAATAGGCTTGCATTTGCTAAATAGCTTTTATTGTTAGGTATTATATGAACTGAGTCACTGGTGTATTTTAGCAAATTATTATTTATAGATTTTTTTTTTAAAGAAGATATTTTGAAGAATGTTGGTAACCAAACATTTGGTTATCACTGACTTCCACTGTGTGAAGAAAAAAAAAAACTCTAAATATTTTGTTTGGTACCTCAAATCCATGACTTTTCCACAACTTTTTCAGTCATTTGTGATAACTGCATAAGGACTTTTGATTCGGATCGATTTGCTAACGAGTCATTCTAATAAAACCGACAAATTTATTGGAAAAATACAAATCTACTGTTGTGGAAATCATAATACATTTTTTCCAGGATTCTTGAATGAATAGAAAGTTTAAAAGAACAGTGATTATTTGTAACAGAAACATTTGCAAAGACTTTTGTCTATGATTTTCAGACATGTCCATGATTTTCCCTACATTTTAAAGCCTATTAATTTCCATGACTTAAAAAACACAATGTAAAATTGCTTGATATTTACAGCTTTCCCATGACTATTCAATTCTGAATGACCTTAATTATCCCTGGGAGTGTGACATAAGCACACTGTGCTTAGCAAGAGTAGATTACGCTACATGCAGAATACAGTACACTTCTCTTTACAGACATTTTTAAACAAAGAAGTCAACATAATCAGTTTTGATTCTGCTATTAATATACTTATGCTAGAACACTGAAAGCTCACTGGGCGCCTAAGTGCTAAATGGACCAAAGGTGAGGAGCAGTGACAACAAGCATCACAATCTGCAGCTGTTCGATCCCAGCCTACACACACTCATCAGTTGTGGGTCAGCGACCATGAACAGAAGGGGTTACTGTCACCAAATGGCATGATCCAGGGCCCAAAAAAGAAACAATTACCTAATGGGGGTTTACAACCCTCTGCTAAATGATAACCCCCTCACTGACACAC